TAGGATCTCACTGCTCCAAGAATAGACGTGTGGAGCTCAAGGTCGGAGTGTGAAAGAGGCACAATCAGCACACACCTGCCATCCGAACGCAACTCACCGGTCAGCATAACGCAAGGTATTCAGAGTGTGCTCAGTGGCGATGTGGCTTGGCGAGATGTTGGCAATCATGCAGGTTTTGGCATTACCAATGAAGGAGTCCTTCAGGACCTGTCCGAAACAGAAGGCAGGTCCATGAAGTCAAGTAACAGAGGCACAATGACACTGGGCCATAGTCCACTATCTATTAAAAAGGCAATTCGTAAAAGAAATACAAATAATCAATAAACACACAAAAAAGGTACTCATTCTCCCATTAATCAAAGAAATCCAAACCTCCATTTAAAAAATCTAACATGTTTCACCTGGTGTTTAAGAAAAAACAGTGATACACCGCCTGGTGGGGATCAAGGGAGAGGAGCTCTCTCTTGCAATGCTAAGGGGCCATGGCCCTGTGCCATGAACTGGTACAACCTTTGGGGAAGGTAACAAGTGTGGCAACACCAGAATGTAGAAAAATGTACACCCTACTGGCCCGGCAGTCATACTTCCAGGACTTTATCCTAAGAGATAACTTTGCTTGATAGACAAAAATAAATTATTCGTAGGATAGTCATTACAACATTATTATGATACTATTTGGAAATTAAGGAGTCTATAAACAATTATCAATGAAGTAATTATAAACTGAATATAATTACGTCTATCTGTATTTAGGCCCATGGAAAGATCTAAAACCTATCTTTGAATGAAAGACACATGATTCCATAGCTCTGTAAGTGAGTCTACATGAGGACACCCAGGCAGAATGATGACTGGAAGGATGTTCACCAAAATGCAGCAGTGGTGACCACTGGAAGGTGGGATTTCCAGGACCATTTACTATCTTCTTTGACTTGTATATACTGTTTGAATTATTTTAAAAAGTTAACCAGGAACACATTTTTCTGGGGATGGGGAACATGTCTTAAAAAACAACAGAGCTGGGCCCTCCCTGTTGGTGCAATGGGTTAAAGCACAGCACTATGAAGCTAAAGCCACTTCAGCATGAATTTGATCCCCACACTAGAGGTGACCCACATGGCAAAGCAGACCTCTCCTGACACGCCCGCTGCTCACTCAGCAGTGTACTTCGTCCATCTGCCTGTTCTGCTCCCTACTCTGTCTCTCACAACCCCTGTACCTCTGGCCTGTACCCCATTCTGAATGCATACATAAATAAATCTTTAAAAAAAAAAAAGTGAGTTATTAAAGTTCCACTTTACCCCAATTGTTAGTCTTATGATCTAGTCAATGTACCTTTCTTTTGCAATCTTACTAAACTTCTCCCTCTGTGTGGCTACATATATAACAGAAAAAAGTGTTTTACATCATAAAGGCAATCCCATTACTACATTGCTTCTATTTCTATAGCTTACTTTTTCATGTCATAATAGATCTTGTTCTTTTAGTACAAATAGAAAACTAACCTCATTCTGTTTTAACTGCAGTGATTTTTGTCTTGAAGTATTACATAAATACTACAGCTAAAAAAGTACCAGTTTCAAAGGCTCAGAGACTCTGCTAAATCAACAAGGTTCCTTTACCTTGGAAATAAACAGTAAATTGCTAGAATTAGCAGAAGAGCTCCCAGGACAGGGGTCTGCCAGAGAGGCCCTTCTCCCCACCTGACCTTGAGCTCCTCCTACAAGGAACATGACCTTCCCACCCCCACCCCCACCCCCACCCCCAGCTTCATGTTGCACTGGGGGTGAGTGCTCTGCTGAATGTAGGAATGAAGAAAGGAACAAATGAGTGAGACAGAACAAACTCAGCTCACGTTTGACTTTACCTGAGTTAATTTACTTTGCCTGAAGGGAGTGTGGGTGTGTTCCTGATCCAGTGCTCGGATACATTCCTTCAACTGCAAAGTAGGAAAAGAAAAAGGATATCAAACATCACATGCAGAGAGTAACAGATCAAATTTTTCTCAAATGAACCATACTTAGGCAACCCTCCAAAAGGAAGTCAAAATCGCTGGTAGTTTCTTGTCAACAAGAAGAAAATCAAGGGCCTCTTTGGTGGCACTGGAGTTAAAAGTCTCAGGGCTTTCAAACTATCTCCAGTCACTGCAGCACAAGTTCCATCCCTGGCCAGGGAGGTGACCCACATGGCGCAGCAGATCTCCTGTCTCGCCCACTGCTCTCTTCAGCAGTGTATTTTAGTTAATCTGCCTGTTCTGCTCCCCACTCTGTCTCTGGTGAATCCTCTCACCCCATGTACCTCTGGCCTACACCCCAGCTTGTGCATGCATGCATGCATAAATAAATAAATAAACAAATAAATCTTTAAAGAAAAAAAAAATGAGCATGGGAGGGACACGATGAGGGAGGAGAGAGCTTCCATTCCCTGGTTGTATATCTAGGTTAAAAGGTAACAAATGAAAAGAGAAAGAAGAGGATGGAAAAAATTTCTTGGAAGACTCAGTACTGGGAGTTGACTAAGAACAGGCATTTCATCCTGACAGCCTGATACAGCTGTTCTTGGTGCTAGCGACAGTATCTACCGCTGTCTATCTAAGAGGTGGCAAGATGTACAAAGAGACAGAGAGCTTCCTGTTTTATTAGAAATCAATTTAATAACCTCAAACTCCAGCACTGGAAAAATTCTCCAGAAAGGATGAACCTTAACCAAACGCTGCCCTCAAGTCCTACCTGCCCCTATAGTCGCCAAGGCTCTCTTTTAGCAGAGTCAGAATGGAAAACAGACTTTACTGAACAATAAGGAAAACCACAGGAAATGCCCAGGAAAGAAACAGGGGGGTCCTTTGTATAACCACCTAAAGCACAAGATTTTGATCTATTCTTGAAGGCCTGTTCTCAGGCCTTTAGAGGCTCATGAAAGAGAGACAAAGTCAAGCCTCAAAGGGCTCATGAGTTCAGAGGTATTTCTTCCCAGGTTTCATAGTTAACTCCTGGACCATAGTTTTAAGTATGAAATCACAGATTTCTAGCTAGAGGTTGCTCAGAATACTCTAGTTTTGGGGCTCCTTGGAGTTGATTACAGAGATGAAACAGGAAAACTACAAGATGAGCATGTAACACACCTTGTTAGTGCCAAAAGGCAAGTAAATGCTCAAAGGATGATAGCAGCAAGAAAACAGAGGACCCAATTTGAAAGAGTTCATAATGACCAAATCGGGGATAATTTGAGCAACAAAATAATTATAAGAATAGGTTTTAAACTAGCAAAGAACTGTCCACTTAATACTGTAAATAAACTAGAGAGGACAGTTCTTTTTTTACAACAGAATTCCAACAAATAAAGGTAGGAAAAAATGATAAGAACAGAAAATTCCATTAGGTGCACTTTAAGAATTGTTGCAATTAAGAATCATCAATGGATACTAAAATCAGGCAAATAACATGTGATGGATATAAACAGGATATGTGCATAGTTTCAAAATATCTTCCCACAAGACACTTACTATAAAGGCAAAATATAACTTTACAGTTTAATAAGACATGTGACATCATGTACCTCCTGATACACTGAGAAAGACACAACTTCTAAGGTGCTCTTGCTAAGAATTCATTATCTCATTCTAATCATGAGAAACCATCAGACAAACCCAAATTTAGAAACATTTTGCAAAATCAATAGCCAATATTCTTTAGAGGTATTAAAGTCACAAATGACGAAAACTATAGTCATGAGAATTAAATGTTATACAGGATCGTAAATCTAAAAAACAACAATCGTAGGGCTATTCAGTGTGATTAGCTGATTGGTTAATGATTATTATATCAATGTTAATTTCCTGATTTAGATAATTATACTATAGCTATGTAAGATCTTAACATTAGAGAAGTTAGGTGAAGAAATGTTGCGTATTTCTATAACATTTCTGGTAAATCTAAAACTACTGAAATTAAAAGCAAACAAAAAAGGATTTATCTGTTGCATGTTCCCAATTTATCCTTCATGAGACCTGGAGATAAGTACCTAGTTTGTGACTTCAGTTCTGATCGATCAAAAAGACTTAAATAATGTGAAAAGAGTACAAGGCAGCACTTTTACAACTGAAAAAGGGAGGAAGAAAGATCTCTATATCCAGCCACAGACTGAGCTATTGTAAATAATCTAGTGGGTACTGTTAGGTGGATAAAGCAAAGTGTAAATCAGAGTTTGTGGGGATAAAAATAAATAAATAAATATATGTATGTTTAGCTGAGGAGAGAGGTAATGCATCTGAGATGACAAGGATGGAAACTAGCTGTCTCTGTGGCCTCTGACATTTTTTACATTCACTAAAAATGAAATAGTAAATTTAAGCCACAGAGAAGAATATTGTGTTGACTTTGCACACAGTATTGTGTATTTCTATTGGGATACTAGTAAAGGTAAAAAGGAAATTGTGAAGAAATCTAAAACTGAATTCAGTAAATATAAGTAACATTAGCACTGGCTTAAAATACATATAACTGAAGTAGGACAAAAAACTTATATTAATGTTGGTAGGAACTAAGAATTCTAGTATAACAAAAATGGAGAGATATATAAATTTAAAAAATGAATAAGCAAAAGGTCTCTATAACCTTAATTTTGAGTTTGTTGGACTGAATGATATATTTTGCTCTTAAAAAAAAATATTTCCTGGTTCTGTCCACTGAAAAGACCTAGACTTGAGAACTAACGTGGTAGTAGTTAAGAATCCTAGCATCCAGACTAATGTTTCTAAATAACATTCTTCTCTAAAACCATTATTTGTTGAAGAAAAGGCTGATTCAAGGACTGGGGAAGGAAATGTCATAACAGAAAGCAAGTTTAAACTTGGTTTCTTCAAATCAAGATGCAGATAAGACCTTTGAACTGTTCTTAGTTGTTTTATTATATTTTTTCTTATTCCAGATCAGTTCTCTGACTTGGGGTTACTTGTTCTGTTCAATTTCCCGTGTTCTGCATTAGGCTGACTGCATCTCTGTGTTGGTATATTACATGTCTCTCTATCTTGCTTCTTGTCATAACAGAAAGCAAGGAAGCTGTCAAGGAACCGCAGGGCTGGCTCAGAAAAACGCAGGTAAACACATGAAAAGGCTTCCCTTTGGCCAAAGTTGCTATTCAAGTAACAAAAAGATCAATAGTGACATGAGTTTATAAAATATAAAAATAAACAATGAACTCATGATTATGTTTAGGTTATTGGAATATCTACTCATCCCAGAAACAGTGAGCAGAGACAAAGACTCGAGCATTTTGTCTCCACTCTTTCTTCAGGATATTCAGATAGTTGAGGGAAAGTTCTTTTATTTTCAGAACTTCAAAGGATATTACAGAAAGATATTAGAAACTCATCATTCTTAAATCCCTTTAAAAACAGATATAAGCAATGCTCATCAACAGCTGCTTGAACCATTAGGTGAAAAGGCTGACAGAAAACATGGAGAAACTGTGTTGAAAACACTCGAATCTTTCATTTTTAATCTTAAAATCATAAAAAGAACAACCAGACATTCTGTATCTCCTCTTGATGTGTTTCTATATTAAGAACTACCTGTGAATTATCCTTGCCTCCCCCCGTAAAAAACCTTAACTCTAAGCCTCTAGATCATTCTGTCCCAATAGAAATGTGAGCCACAAATGCAAAGCACATATGCAATTTAAAATTTCTAATAGTCACATTAAAATAAGAAAACAGGTGAAATTAATCTTAATTCTGTATTTTAATTAACATTCAACAATATTTCAGATGTAATAAACATGAAAAAGCCCAGAATTTTAGATGCTTTTTCTGGTAATAGTTTTCAAAATCCAGGCTGTATTTTAATTCAGTCTAGCCATATTTCAAGCACTCAATAGTCACATGTGGCTTAGTGGCCACCATATTAAGTAGCACAGATACAGACCTTAATCACTTTACAGAAGGGAGGATAGAGAGACATGTAATATACCAACACAGAGATGTAGTCAGCCTAATGCAGAACATGGAAAATTTAACAGAACAAGTCAGAGAACTGATCTGGAATAAGAAAAAATATAATAAAACAACTAAGAATAGTTCAAAGACCTTATCTGCATCTTGATTTGAAGAAACCAACTATAAAAAGGATCCAATGGGACAACTGGAGAAATTACAATATACTCGATAACAGGAAACATTAAATAATTGTTTCTTTGGAAGCAATAGTATAATGGTTATAAAAAAAAAAAAAACAGGAGTCCTTAACTTTCTATACATAACTACTAAACTACTGAAGATGGGTGACAAGTATATGGGAGTTTATTATGCTATTTTATTTTTGTGTATTTGAAAACTCAGTACAATATAAAAACCTGGGAGGGAGAAAGGTTACCTAAGTTAACCATTCAGCAACTGCAGAAATACTTCTCTGCTTCTAACTGGATTGATCAGAGGAAGAAAAGGCAGGAAAAGAAGGAAACTGCTGCCTAAAACTGCAGAGAATCTGACTGGGCAGCCTCAGGTCCTACCCTCAGTCCTGCTTCCTCATAAGAGCCTATCCTTGCTAAAATGACTCCACCCTCCCTCATCCACTCTGACTGCATGGAAAGATGAACAAGTTCTAGCAAAAGGATTTTCAGATTAAAGCATTCAAGAAACTTACAGCCAGAAGACTCTGGTTTATTTCTGCACCTTCCATCTTTGTCTGTTTATCTGAGTCTCTGGCATCTGCTGCTCTTTCACTGCCAGCCAAGTCAATAAAAGAGATCCTAGAAAAGACACAGGGTTGATTTCTTTGGGAGTTTGGCTTATTGCTGTATCAGTCAGCATTTTGCAACTGCAAAGAAGAAATTAACACTGGCCCATCCACAGGAAAGAAAAGACGTTACTGTCAGTTTTCCAAAAGTACTGCGATATTCTGATTTGTCAGCTGTTGCTGGCACTGTTCACTTGGACATCCTGTTGGTTTTAATCACTTATGAGAAAGTATGACTGAAATTAATAAAACATTCTTCCCATAAGGGTAAATGGCCACAATGCAAATCACTTAGGTGACCACTTAGATAATTAAATAGAAACTTTTGTGGGCTGCTTTCCAGCAGCAAAAAAAGAGAAAGAAACAAAAGGGGGAAAAAAAAAAGACTCATTACTCAGAGGTGAGAGAGGCTCATCCATCAGTGTGGCATAGTTTGCTAAGATAGCACCAGAGAAGCAATGAATGTACCCAATTGTCTTATGGTTTCTTTCAAGAAGGATGGATTAATTTTCTTTTTTCTTTCTTTTTTTGCAAGTATGCTTTCTGAGATGCATTCTCTGCTATTCCTCTGCTGACACTGTGTTTCACGTTAGAAGTAATCAATGTCCCTTTTAATAACTTAGGTTTGACCAACAATAGGTCATTACTTCATGGTTAATCAGCTGAAGGCACTTTAGTACAATGATTTATTTCAGGGCTAACAACTCTACTCCATCCCTGAAATAAAGAACTCCATGGTAGCAGGGTGTCCTGTTGTTGATAACACATATTTCAAAGTCACATAAGAGAAAGGCATACAAAGCAATTCCCTGCTTATTTCCAGCTCACCTGCCAAACGTCCTTTTGGCTGAATCTTTGATCTGAATTTGGATGATAGCATGGGAGCGAGAGGAGTCTGCGTTAACTCCGGTGGCCCCGGTGCTGCGCTCCTTGCTGCCTTTCAGGATCGCCTGAAAGTAAAATCCGTAAGGTCACTTCCCCAAAGAGAAAAAAAAGCCCTGTGGCTCCTAAGAGTTGTCTAACGAAGTAGAGACCAGCTATATAACTTTGTACACTGCGTATCTCCCCCCTCCATGTGTTTAGCTGCCTAAGCACTAAATCATATGGACTAAGTACACAACAGCAATGCAAATGCTGTGGAATACTAATCTTGGGGGAGAACATTCAATCACTCAAAAGCTAATTTATTTTTTGATCTCATGTACTCTTTTAATATCTTCGATGGATTTAGCATGACTAAACTCCTCAGTGTATAACTTGACTCCAAAGCAAGCTCCCACAATACCCATCTATCTTAGCAACTGAAACAAAGGAGAGAAGCATGCATCATGGAGTGACTGATCACATCTCTGTTCTACCAGGATGGTCAGAAGTGAGGCCCGGCCTGAGGGACAGGAACACGGAAGTGTAAGTCATCACAATTGCCATCAGCCCATGATTTCCCTTGAGACCAATGCTCCTCTAAATGGGAGTAAAGACAATTTGGGTCCCCCTAGTCACAGGAGAATGGGGGAGAGGAGATAATGTCTCCAGGTTGACCTCTAGTCACTTGAAAACAGCCATATATGGATATGCCCTGATTTGGGGTTATGGGGAGAAGTGTTGATTATTAAGAATTGAAGAGGAAGAACTTTAACAATATAATTTGATAGAATCGAAAAACAGCCTAATATAAGATGCATATAATTATTGTGCTCAGCTTTACAGCTGAATAAACTCAGAGGCTGATTTGCTCACAAACAGCTGTTAGGTGGCAGAACCAGAGGTATATATCCAAGTATGTTTGACTCCAAGCCTCATATAGTCCCCACTACACTGTGAAACATTTATGACACATTTATTTATTTTGCAGAGAACTAAGGGTTAGGAAATCTGATCTCATTTTTTTCTCAATATCTCAGAATCTTAGTTTATAACATACTGAATACAGCTATTGTTTCCAAACTAAGAGTCCAAAAGTTGACTCTAAGAGTAGAGTTTTAACAAAAGACCACAAAGTAGGGGTCTCCGTGGTGCTGCAGGGGTTAAAGACACAGTGCTATCAAGCTATTACCAGCCACTGCAGCACAAGTTTGCAGCCAGCCAGGGAGCTGGCACAGCAGACCTCTCCTGTCCCTTCTGCTGCTCAGCAGTGTATTTCAGTCGGTCTTCCTGTTCTGCTCCCCACTCTCTCTGGTGAATCCTCTCACTCCTTGACCACGCCCCTCTGGCTTACTTACACTACAGGTCTTGTATGCATAAATAAATAAATCTTAAAAAAAAAAAAAGACCCACAAAATATCAACATTCAGGGACAAGTGCTTTTGAAACATTTAATAAGTTCTCCATGCACTAGGCAACAGGTGTTTCAAAAGATTATTAAAAGATACTTAGAAATGTATTTTAGAATCTTATTTACTTTTTTCATTTCTTTATCCTCAGCAGCATTTCCCTTCAATTTTATGGAGACATAATTGACAGATTATTGAATAAGTGTAAGATGCACAGATTGATGGTGTGACTAACATTTTATGGAATAATTAATGCAGTATGTAAAACATCTCATATAGATATAATAAAAAAGGAGGAAAAAATAACAATTCCTTGTAAAAACTTTTAGGCTTTTCTCTTAACAACTTATCTACATACAATGTAGGAAATATACAATTATAATTATCATGCTATACATTACATCCCTAGTACTTATTTATAACTGGAGATTTGTACCTTTTGACTACCTTTCTGCAATTCTACTCTCCAAGAATATTTTAAATGCATTCATTTTGTAAAATAACTTGCTAAAAATTTGAAAGAGACTATTTGATTAATGCTCTAGTAGGGAGAAGAGCCTGTTCATTCACAAAGCTGGAATATCAGCTGCCAGGGTACGTATTGTTGTAATCAGATCTAAAGAGCAGTAATCTCTATACTTTTGTGTGGCTAGTGCCAAACAAAAGGTCAACAAACACTACAAACCAAGTTTTGATACTTCTTAGGTCACTTAGGCTATAGCTGCCACTGAACTAAATTAAAGTACTTTCTCATCCTGCTTCTCTTTTCCTCTGATATCACGCATACATCAAAGGTAATGCAGTGATGTGATAGATTATCTTTGCTTTTCTTGTAATTTTATATCAAACTTTTTTTCACTAGACTTGCTTACTATGGAGATTTGGAAAACAGGAAATGTTATCTTCCATAATCCTAGAATTAACAAGATTCTGGTACATCTTCTCCTACAGTTTTATATTTGTTACAACTCTTTTTCTGTTTTTTTTTTTTTCCTCTCTTTTACAAGCACTATGAAGAAACAGGGAAGGTCTTTTCAATCACTACACTTTTGTAAGCAATATGTATTAACTTGTACTGATACTGAGAATCAGTAATAAGGGAAAAGTTAAATGACTTATGCAAAGTCAACCCAGTAGAATACGGTCAGACAGGGACAGAAGCCAGGTGCCCCTGCTACATGGGAGTGATGGCCTCAGAGAGGCCTAAAGGCTACAACTCACATATTGTGGATGCTGACAGAAACCTGACGGATGGCTTGATACTGGGATGTTGGAAAGTCATGATGCATTTTTGCTTGAAAAACAGAAAAAATACATCATGGCTTCTGACAACCCAGTAGTTCAGTCCTGGGAGGGAGGGGATAGAGAGGGATATCAAGAGAGGTTGGTGTTTTGGAGTCTATTAGTTTTGCACTTGGATTTTTGCTACACAATGTTGTACTATGTACCCGTGAGCACCTCTGAGAAAACCTAACATGCCAAGGTACCCTTTCCTGACTAAATCCCTTTTAGGGAGGCATAAAGTCCTTGGTCCAGTTTCTTCAATTTCAGTAACAACCTGCAATCACCATGCCTTTCACAAATAGGGAATAGACCAGCTAAGTGCTGAGTAAAATGAGGCCGTCTGTGAAGATCTGATACATCTTTGGAAAAGACACATAGCACAAATGTAGGGATTAAGAGAGTGAAATCTGATGTTAGACTGTCTGGGTTCACATACCAGCTCTGACGTATGGCCGTGTGACATTTTGCAAATCACTTTGCAAAATTCAGGGCCTCTCTAAAATGGTAACCTCATAGGTCATTTATAAAGACTAAAAAAAAAAAAATAATAATGTAAATAACTAGTACTGTAATTGGTATAAGTTGTCAATAAATATTAATTTTTAAAAGATACTGGAGTAACAGCTTTATGTAAATACCCAAAATTTACACTATTTTTTCACAAATGTGAAAGAACCAGAATTTCAGGGAAAGACAGCTTTATGGTCAACATGAGATTTATTGGGTTCCCCAGTACAAATTTAAAACAAAGGAAGGCTAGATGGGGGGCAAGATGGGTGGGAGGAAGGGAGGAAATTAGAACAACAAAAATTTATTTGGGGAAAAGCAAGTCTAGGAACAGAGCAAAGTTAATGTAATCATCTTAAAAAATCACCCACTTTTCCTCCTACCAGTTCTTCTTAAATTCTTCCTGTAACAAAAGTCTGTTGGGCAAGTTTTAAAATCTAGGTCCCTTAGACAAAACATGCTGAGTAGTGAAATGAAGATCTGCCACAACATAAAGTAGATACGAATGTTGAATTATGTAACACTGGAAAAAACTCAGGGACTTATTAGTAATAATAAATGTAACAAATTGAGCTGGCATCAGACTGAGCATTTTTGGTATGTTACTTCATTTCCTTCTCTATCACCCAACCTAATCATCTATTGTCATTCTTTTATATTTGTGAAAAGAAATAAATTTTCAAATTTACACAGAGATGTTACTCCGTGGTATTTTTTAAAAATTTAGTATTTACTGAGAACTTATATCACCTTTAGAGTCTCTGAGAATCACATGCTTAAGGCTCAGAAAGATAAAGGGCACATTTCAAGGATACACAACACTGGGACCCAGCTCCGTCTAGTTATAAAACTGTAATTACCAAACTACATGCACAAATATGAAAGGAGGACTGTGAGCACTTCAGAAGTCTAGTCATTATGTACAAAAACTCTGTCACCCACATACAACTAAGGTTCACCTAGGGGAAACTCGTGCTATTCAGGCTTTGCTATCAATTCATTGCCAAGGCAATAATAAAACATGTAAGAGATATATTAGAAATTTGAGAAAGGATATTATAAATATGAGACCACTGTAAGAATAATTTAAAAAACTGCCAATCTCTAAAACTGAAAAAAAAATCAATTAATCGCCCGACAAACAAATACTTGACCTGGGTAATGTGGTGAGACTGTAAGTTCTCTGTAAAGACCAGGAAGTCCTGGTATCTGCATTGGTATCTGCATTGGTATCTGCAGGAAAGACATACTGTTGAAAAAACTAAGCTGCCAAATTGTTCATTCAGGCAGACAAGAAGTGACCATGCTTGGGTGAGGGAGGGTGATCTGTGAGCATGACACTCAAAGATGATACCCAAGTGTGACACTTGAGCAAACACAAGAGGTGACACCTGAGAGTGAAAGTGTGACACCTGAGTTAGCAAGAGCTTTTGTTTCAAGTCAATAAGTGTTTGAGGGTAACTATGTCAGATATCCATAATTTATATTAACGCTCTACCTTGATCTCAGTGGGCTTCCTTCTTGTGTAACATCATGAATTACAGACTGTGGGTATCAATGTCAGTACCACTGACTAGCAAGAAACTCCTTATTGCTTATCTTAGGTGACATTCCTTAGGGTAAATGGTGCTATAAGCTCTCCAGGGAAAAGGGATGACTTGACAATGACTGCCCATTAATACAGTTACAGCCAAGGGAAAGGGACGTCCTTATAGTGTTTGCGCCTTCCCCAGTCAGTTGGTTTAATAACTAGGACAGAGACATCATGAGGACCAACTGTCCTGAAATTCCCAGCCAAAGAAGGAAAAGCTGGGAGAGGTGGGGCCCACAAGGAATAGGTGTGTAAGAAATATTGGTATTTCCTTAGGACTCCACAGTAGAGGGGGATCTGGACAGGTAAGCATGATCATGGTCTCAGGGAATAGTGTCATTGCCCTACTCTGCTCCCTTTGACTCCAGTCAGGTTTGCTGGATAAACCAGAAGAATGACTCTAATGGTTGTATGTAAGAATCTACCTGGAGAACTTTTAAAATAATTACAAACTTCACACTTTATTGTTAGGAATATAAAATAATGCAGTTACTTTGGAAAAGAGCTTGGCAGTTCCTCAAAGAAGTAAGATCCAACAATTCCCAGGTATATGCTCAAGAAAGCTGAAAGCATGTCACAAAAAAACCTGACCCCAAATGTTCACAGCAGCAGTATTCATAATAGCTAAAAAGTGGAAATGACTTGAATTTCTATGAACTGAAGAATGAATAAAAAAGATGGCATATCCAAAGGAAAAAAAAATGGCATATCCACATGACAGAATATTATTCAGCTATAAAAAAGAATTTTACATGCTGCAACATAAAGGAACTTTACAAATATTATGTTAAGAAGCCAGAATAAAAACATGGCATTTTATATGATTCCATTTAAATGTTATGGACCAGAACTGGCAAATCCATAGCAATAGAAATTTGTGTTGCCAGACACTGGGAAATAGGGAGCAAATGTTGATGGTGCAGGGTTCCATCTGGGGTAATGAAAATGTTCTGGAAATAATGATGATGTTGAACTATTTTATTTTAAAAATTACTGAAGATATAAAATTTATAAAATTAAAAATATAGATATAAAATTTTAAATATATTTTAATGAAACACTTTCTCATCATCTTTAAAAATGATTTTCATTTTCTAATCTTCTCTGCCATGAGGACTTAATAGCTTTATGGTCCAGAGGGCTTAGGTACCACATCCCTAATCCCCTACTGCTCCTGAGGGATCTTCTGGAAGTCCTTGTAGCAACTTCAGGAGCTTAATTTTTTTTTTTTTTTTTAAGATTTATTTATTCATGAGCCATGGTGTAGGCCAGAGGTATGATGGGGGGTGGGGTGGGTGAGAGGATTCACCAGAGACAAATTAGGGAGCAGAACAGGCAGATCTACTGAAGTGCAATGCTAAAGGGAGCAGCGGTGAGACAGGAGAGGTCTGCTGCGCCATGTGGGTCAGCTCTCTGGCCGGGGAATGAATTTATGCTGCAGTGGCTGATAATAGCTTCATAGTGCTGAGACTTAACCCCTTGTGCCACCAGGGAGGCCCACATTGTGAATTTGGAACCCGTAGAAAAATACAGCCAAATCAAATTTTTATTTAAAATATTTCTCTCTAGTAGTTTTCCCAGAGCCCACTGCCATAAAAATATACATTAGCAGGGCCCTCCCTGGTGGCACAACAGGTTAAGGCACTGCATTATGCAGCTGTCCGAAGCCACTGCAGCACAAGTTTGGTCCCTAGACAGGGAGCTGACCCACATGGCGCAGCAGACCTCTTCTGACCCACCCGCTGCTACCCTCAGCAGTGTACTTTGTCAATCTGCCTGTTCTGCTCCCCACTCTGTCTCTGGTGAATCCTCTCACCCATCAAACCTCTGGACTGTGCCCCAGTTCTGTGAGCATAAATTATAAATAAACCTTTAAATATATATATATATATATATATATTAGCAGCCTTTAAAACTGGCCCAGGAGTGTCCAATTATGCAGCAGGTTCTCCCACATACCCTACCTGCAACGACCATGACATTGAGACAATTCTGAGGAGAAACCAGGGGTCCTTACAGAGGAGGATTCACATTTTATCAACGTTGAAGTGGTGCGTCCATCATTAACCTTTGCCTAAGTCTGAGTCCTTCACACTAGATAGCAAAATGAGTTCTTTCCCTGCACTTAGACAATAGGGGGGTCATAAAAAAGAAAGTTACCTCTAAGAGGAGTTCCACACTCTCCACCTGGAGCTCTCGTAGTCCCACTATCTGTACCACATGCTTGCTATCTTCTCTTGCGAAGAGCCTGTAGATACAACAACATGGTTGGTATGGCCGAGTGGCTGTGATGGACTTCATTCTTGCCACACCATTTGCCCACTCCCCCCCTTTAAAGAGCAGTTTTGTTGTTTGTGTGGGATGAGATACACTTTCCTCACCCATTCCCACACCGCCTACTCCCAGTTCCAGGCTGGGGGTGTGGAGGCAGTACTTTGATTACTGTAAAGAAATCATCTTCGGCTACATTTAAAAGAACAAGCCTGTAACAGACCTTTGCCAGTCAGTGCGTGTATTCCTAGCTACAGTGATTGGTTTAGGAGTAGAGGTGGGATCTCTGCTGGTCTAAACTAAGATCCTAGTCTCCAACAGTTAGGTGCCTGGGGTGAGGTGCCTTCTCTTTCTGGAAGTGAAAGCGTGTGGGACTATTGGTAGTTATTTTGCATGCACAAGAGCCAGTTTTGGCATGAACAGACAGGTGCAAACAAACTGAATCCTTACAATATAACTGAGTTGCTCGGGTAAACAGATCCTCAGGCCTCACTGTTCTCAAAGCTTTCTAGTTACATGAGCCATGACTTCCCTAAAGGTTTAAGCTAGTGTAAGTGGAGTTTTATTTTACTGGTAACAAAGGAGTCCTGACACATCTTCTGCGGGAGGAAGGAAGAGCTGGTACTGCAGCTGAATGCCTTAGCCTTGTGTTAAGGAATGAACATGTATCATCTTTAAACCAAACCCATGACAGGGCATTAAATCTATCAAAGATTCTAAGATGATTTTTTTCTTTTAAGACTGATTAAATTTGAGTGAAATTCCACCTCGTAAGCAAAAAGAAATGTTTTCAAAAAATATTTCTCAGTCTATGCTTTAACCGCAAGTTTTCAAAATTTTATAAGAACAGTTGGAGGAAAACAGCCTCACAGTCAATGCCCATACCTTTCAGAAGACAACTCCATTAGAACAGTCAAACTTCTGGAAAAAGGACCTGACTTGCAGAGTTCTCATGTCACTCCAAAGCATGTTTTCCAGGCCCTATAACCTAAGCTCATCTCACCTAAGAAACATTTTAAGTCCTATAAGTAAGCAGGCTGTTTCTGTCACTCTCCATGCAAGGTATGAAAAGAATTTATCCTTTAGTAAAAGTTAATCTGCAGATCCTTAAACTTTTGTGTCTACATTTTAGTAGGCATAGAATATAAACTTCTACCTTTGTCAAAGCCCCACTATTATAAAAAATATATTTTATTTAAAAAACAAGATAAATTGGCCCTCCCTGGTTGCATAGCAAAGCACAGCACTAAGAAGCCAAGACCACTTCCGCATGAGTTCGATTCCCGCCTGCCCCAGAGGTGACCACATGGCGCGGCAGACCTCTCCTGACCCACCCGCTGCTCCCCTCAGCAGTGTACTTCGTCAATCTGCCTGTTCTGCTCCCCACTCTCTCTGGTGAAGCCTCTCGCAGTCCCTGAGCCTCTGGCCTGTACCCCAGTTCTGTATGCACAAATAAATAAATCTTTAAAAAAAAAAAACAACAAGATAAATTATAACAGTTCTTAAAAAAAACAAGAAAAGGTGCCATTATTGCATGAGGACATTTCAGAAGTACCCAAAAGGTAGAAGACAGGGAGATATAGTCAATTAATCCTAGGTGTAAAACAAACATAATAAATAAACAAAAGAAAAGAAACCAGTCAAGACACCTGCAGAATAAGCACACTTCCCTAGTGAGCCCGTAAGAAGCTTTTAACTGAGGAGTTAGTGTATATCCTCATTTCCTTAGCTGCAATTAAAGAACACAAACCTGGAGGATAATCTGTGCAATTTATTAATAAACCGAAATGACAAACTTCTGGATATCTGTGCTTTGATACAAACTCCACACACACAAATGGCTTTTACTCTCATGCTAAATGATCCTTAAAGGAAGTGGTTATTCATACTAGAAAGTGCTGCTAATAAAGGTATTGAAGCCTGGAAGAGGTCTGTGGTTGAGCTAATTCAAGGCTTCAAAACTAATACAGAGAAGATGAAAAAAGAAAGGCCAACTCTTCCCCAAAGCAACCCTTCTACTGGGTAGTGGTTAGGACTGAACCTCAAATCCCTATACGTTCTCTGAATTATGCCATCACTGAAAGCCCTCTTTTTGATGGGATAGTCTACAGGATGGCTGGCTGCCTAGCCTACTTGGTGGCCTTGCTAGTTATACCACTGAGCACCCTGGTCTCCCTCTCTAGGGGGGCAGGCTCTATGATGCGCTCCCTACTGAAGTATAGCTGCTAGTCCTCCATCTCCCCCATTCCAGTACTTATCTAGAGCAGGTAGAACTTACATGTCCTCGGGATTTGAATACCTTTGTGGGCAATTAAGTCTCTTTCATTGATTTAGTTCCCCCAAGCTTCATCATCATGGTTAGCCTCAACTCACTCCTCTCTACTGGTATGGCTGCTGGGAACATGTCACACATCTGGTTAATTCTATTATGACAATCCTTCATCCTACCTCTTTTCCTTATCATTTTCCTCCCTGTTCCCCAGTTAGTTGATACTTTCACTAAATTGGTTTCTCTTTCTTAGTTAAACTCATGTTTCAGGACCTCCCTGGTAGCCTAGGGGTTAAGTCTTAGGCTATCATTACTATGACCTGAGTTCAACCCCTGGTTAGGGAGCTGACCCACATGGCCCAGTAGACCTCTCCTATCTTGCCCACTGCCCCCTTAGCAGTGTATTTCATAAATCTACCTGCTCTGTTCTTCACTCTGTCTCTGGGGAATCCTCTCACTGTACACCCAAATTCCCCTGCACCTCTGGCCTATATACACCAGTTCTTCTATGCAAAAACAAAAACAAAAAAACACCTGTTTTAACTAAACAAAACTTTATGCAAGAAAAATAAAATAAAAATTTTAAGTCAGAATTTAAAATTTCTGAATAATTTCTAAATTACTATATTATAATGCAAAGGTAATATTTAAGCCTTCTTAGAGTTAGAAGTCTAATGTAAAGAAAAGTAATTTTCTTTTCTTTTTACTGATCTCTACCCTAAGTTATTGAAAGGAAAAACCAAGAGAAAATGGGAAGCATTATTTGTAGTACTTATTATATTAACAGCTCAAAAGAAATAGAAATGGATCTTAGTACAATGCTGGTTTTCTGTCATCAAAAATAAACATTAGGATATTGAACACTTAAAAAATACTAGTTGAAGGCTAATCTAGCTGAATTGACAGTTTAAAAAAATACACATCTGATTTAAAAGAGTTTCATTTCACAAAAGGACATTTGTGTACCAAAGCCTCTCAGTAAATCCCATGATTTGGGCTCTGACTTACAACAATGATAGTTTTACAGTTTCCCACTCACAACCATTACCTTTTTCTTCTATTTAGTAGGTCGTAAAGCTGTCCACAGTAGATTTCATAGAAGCTGATCCACACGAAGAGGTGCCTTCTTGGTTGGGACACTTCTAGTTGCCTGAAGATATCTTTGGCAGCCAGAGCATATAGTCCTGGGTTCTGATGAGTTCCGATCATGGTATAGGTCTTTCCAGCACCTGTTTGTCCATAAGCAAAGCAAGTGGCATTGCCTCTGGGGGAAGAATCATTGTATCATTTATTGAGAGAAATGTTAATCTCACATAAGTCTTTAATTATAAAAGTCAGGTATAAAGAGAATCCTTGCCAAAACTCAGCTATAAACATACCACCACTTAAGGAAAGAAGGGCTTTCCATTATAAAAACAGAGGAAGAGGGAAAAACATTCTCAAAGCAATGTGTGCATTTTTTTTTTCTTTTACAGAACTGCAACAGATTATCAGATTATGGTGTGGAAATATGGAAACAAAAGCCCTGTGTAAGGGGCTTTTGAACATAGGTGCTTTAGAACCTAGAGAAGATTTTGTCCTTACCCTTAAAGGTAAATTTAGTGGAAAAAAGTACTAGAGAATTGAATACAGTAAATAATACATAGGATAGTGTAACTATTCATGACTATTTAAGGAAGTTTAGACAGAAATGAAATCAATGAAAGCAAAATATTTGAAGAAAAATATATTACAGGAAGGCTCACAAATAGACTTTTCTCAAGGCCTCGGTTAACATTTTCATAAATAAACTAATGGATTTGATTGCTAAATTTCCTTCTAATCCTGACAGCCTACACTTCTAAGTATTACTGTTCTACATATGAGTACATGTGTGCACACATCAGTATGGATGTGAAAAAAAAGGTGTAGAAGAGAGCTGGGAGACCAACTTGCTGATCAGTCATTTTTAAGAGTTGTTGGTCAAGATTACCTAAGTATGGTGGGGTCCTATTAAGCAGTCCTAAGTAGAAAGTGAACATGATTTAGGTAATAGCAGCTATTGCAGACGTTCAAACAGGGATCACATAGGTTAATGATGGAAGCAACTGCTTGCAGCAAGAGAAGTCACAGTAATAGACACAGGAGTAGGGAAAGGCTGGAGATGGGCAGAGATCAACTCAGGAAGGAACTTGAAGTCAGAGCCAAAGAAAGAGTGAAAAGAACAAAGAAACTATAGATGCTTGAGAATCAAGAAGGGAAGCTAACCAGATATGAACTGCTTGGAGCAAAGCCCAGTCACCTCTTGTCTTTTTTTTTTTTCTTAAAGATGTACTTATTTATGCATACAGAACTGGGGTACAGGCCAGAGATGCAGGGGTGGTGAGAACATCCACCAGAGACAGAGTGGGGAGCAGAACAGGCAGAATGACAATGTAGACTGCTGAGCGGAGCAGCAGGAGAGGCAAGAGAGGTCTGCTGCGCCATGTGAGTCACCTCCCCAGCCGGGGATCTAACTTGAACTGAGGCGGCTGAGGCTAGCTTCATAGTGCTACACTTTAACCAGGTTTGACACCACGGAGGGCCCACGCCATGTCTTTTGAACACTGGCACCCAGTAATGTAGGCACTTGAATATATTGGCAGAGGCACAATTAGGAAAAGGAATATAGGAGGTAATGTGAACATACCAGAGAAACTGAGCAGCATAAAATTAAAGACATAAAGAGTATCTACTAGTTTAGCGATAAACTTAAAAAAAAAGGGGGGGGGCATGGAAAATCTCCTTACATACTTTATAGAATGCATGCACTTAGTATGCAAGTCTTCATTTTTGTTGGTAATGTTGTACCAACCAAGATTCTAGAAATTTACTCTCTCAAAAAACACTCCCAGAGCATAAGAAATTGAACCTGGCCTCCCTGGTGGTGCAGGAGTTAAGTCACAGCCCTATCATGTTATCACCAGCCACTGTGGCATCAGTTGAATCTCTGGCCAGGGAGTTAACCTACATATGGCACAGCAGACCTCTCCTGTCTTGCCTGCTGCTCCCCTCAGCAGTGTGTTTCATATATCTACCTGTTCTGCTCCCCACTTTGTCTCTGCTGAATCCTCTCGCCTATATGCCAATTCTGACATGCATAAATAAATCTTTTTTTAAAAGCCCCAACAAATTAAACCTAAAAACGATTTCACATTTTTAGCCTGTTCCAAAAAAATTTTTTCAGCTACTTTTATAAGACAATAAAAAGACAACCAAAGAAAATGGAAAAATGAAGGTATCTGACAAATACAATGAATAATAAGCACAAGAAGATGCTTACCTAGGCCTTAGTGAAATTCAAATAAAAACTACAGTGTGATAAAATTTCAAACCTATTACAGTGGCTAAAATAATTCTTAAATATTGCTACTAGGAGTAGTAATAAAATGACACATGGAAAACTGACACTTCATACAAAACTATCCACCTATCTTATGACTCAATAACTCCATTTCTAGATTTTTACCAAGATAAATGAAAATACGTCCACAAAAAGATTTTCATAAGAAGATTTATAAAACTTTACTCATAATAGCCCAAAACTGGAAATAAGCTCAAATGTCCACTGAAGGAGAATGAATTAACCAATGTTCACGAATAAAAACTAGATACACGCAACATGTACTAATCTAGAAACTCATGCTAAGTAAAAGAAATCAGGCATAAAATATATACTGAAATAATTCTATTTCTATGACATTGGAGAATAGGCAAAACTATTTTAAGTGACAAAAAGCAGGTCAGTGGTTATGTGAGACCTGAGGGTAGAGTTGGGGATTAGCTAATATAGGAGCCCAAAAAACTTTCTAGGATATCTTTTCTGGATATTTGGTAGGGAATATACAACTTTCAGAACCCTTAAACCTAAATACTTAAGATTTGTGTGCCTGAGTATATGTAAATTACATTTCAATTTTTAAAAAGTAAAAAGACATTATTCTAAAAATGTTTATATATCAAAACACTCTGGAATCAGGGACTGTTCTAGGCTGTTTGGAAATATAGGCCCCTTCATGCCTAGATTTTAAACATACAGCAGAAGTCCTAGTGCCTTTTCTGCTGCATTTATTGGTTACTAAATATGACTATGTTATTCAAAATTTAAAAAACACATCTATGGAAAGCAGATAACAGTCACTGATATTTCTCACTCCAGAGAAAAAATTAACTGAACTATACAATCAGAATACATAACTCCTATTGTCAAAAGTTCAAACTAACTACAATCACTTAAACATTTTTATTCTGAAGAATTTGATGAAATTATGTTGTTGATAGCTTATATTTTTCCACTAAGCACAGATAATCAAAATTATCAATATAATGGAAATTCTGCTGAAAATTTCTGGATATTTAGAAAGTCCTGTTGAAGTAGACATGGCACAGATTTACATTTTCAGATCAAAACCCAAATTTATATTTACTTAAAAAAACCTGAAACCTTAAGTGATACTTAAGTGATACTTCTAAGTGATACTTAGAAACAAACATTATGAAAAATGAAAATAAAAAGCAAGAGAAGCAAACAATTACTCTCGTACCCATTGAAAATATGCTGAATGAGTGGGTGAGTAGTCTTCATGTATACATCCCGATTGGTGCACGCCTCACCAAAGACTTCATCAAAATAAAAAACATGCTGAAAAAGAAATTTGATTTTTATAGAGACATTTTCTTCACTACTACTCTAGTTAACACATAGGTTACAAATATATTTTGAACTAATAATTGATCATGACAAAGATAAAAAAACAAACACTGTTCAATGAGAGGAGTTCCTTTTATGGATTTACATAGCTATACTCATTTATTTATTTTTAAAGATTTACTTATGCACACATAACTGGAGTACAGGCCAGAGATGCAGGGGTGGTGAGAGGATTCACCAAAGACAAGAGTGGAGAGCAGAACAGGCAAATCAACGAAGTACACTGCTGAGAGGAGCAGCGGGGGAGACAGGAGAGGTCTGCCGTGCCATGTAGTCACCGCCAGGGGCCGATGGAACTCACACTGAAGTGGCTGTGGCCAGCTTGCAGTACTGCGTCCTAACCCTTGCGCCACTAGGGAGAGCCCTGTTCTTTTATTTTAACTTAACTTTTTGTTTTAGATATGTTCTTATATAAAAACTAATCATGTAATTTTTGTTCTCTCTTAAGTGAGCTACATTGATGACTACAAGAGTAAGTCAATCCTCCTTAGGATCAGGAGGAATTATCCTCACAACCCAGTTAGAGCTACCACATTTGAAATTTTGAGGGAATGTGAAAGGAAAGCCTTTGTTCTGTATCTTAACTTTTAATTCCTCAAACATTTATTGTTCAGCTGGTGACATGTATGTTGCATTACGTACTTCAAAGGACCCAAAGACACTGCTATTGTTCTGCCATTATCCCACTCTCTACCTAAAAATGTTAACCTGGATGCATACAAATAACTATAATATAGAATAACTTTAAACTTGAGATATAAAATATATGTAGAATTCAGGCCCCTCCTGGTGACACAGTAGGTTAAAGCACAACACTAAGAAGCTAAAGCCACTTCAACATGAGTTCAATCCTCGCTGCCTCACATGGTGCAGTAGACCTCTCCTGACCTGCCTGCTGCTCCCCTCAGCAGTGTACTTCATCGATCTGCCTGTTCTGCTCCCAACTCTGTCTCTGGTGAATCCTCTCACTGCCCCTGCACCTTTGGCCTGTATCCCAGTTCTGTATGTATAAATAAATAAATCTTTAAAGTATATATATATTAAGTATATATGTATACACACATATGCATACATACATATACACATGTGTGTGTATAAATATGTAGAATTCAAAGGAAAAATGTATTTCCTCTGATTGGGAAAGACATTATAAAAAGATTGTACTGAGAATGCAAAAATTGGACAAGTAGCAATGGAGGTATTCCAGGGCCAGGAAAATATGAGCAAAGGGAACAGGAAAGATTTAATTTCCTTTCAAATATAGGGTCTTGGTAGGTAGAAAAGTGAAACTGAAGGCTACATAATGAGTTAGGGCCATGATGTATGGGTCTTGGGACACCAGCATTAGGGAGGGTGTAGAATTCTCTAATATAGGAAACAGGACATATTACAGCATAATAAAGACAGTTCATACACAATGAAGGAGAGATGAAGCCCTATTTTCTGTTACCGTTGGGTCTACTCTAAATAATTACTCAACGAAAAAAAAATATATGGACAGATCAGAAAAGAAGACTTGAGCCAATTTGCTGTGGGTCACTTTATCCCAGGTTCAATTCTGTTTTGCGTACCATCACAATCTAACCTCACCTCACCTACCTCACTTCACCTCCCCTCAGCATGGAAGTGTTCGGCCAAAGAAATTGGGCTACAGTGTTAAATTTATCAGTTAGAACAAGTCTCTAAAAGTTAGGAGGTGAGAAAATAACAAATCTGTGCAGCATGATGAACTTTTAGTGCTCTGAAAAATGTAATTTGATTTTAAGATGTTAAACGTGGAAGATGGTTATGGGTACATGGAATTTTCAAGTTTGATTAAACTTGAAAATGGCAGTGGCAAAATATATCTGTAAAATCTGGATTTAATAAACATAATTTATATCTAACTTATGACTGGTCTCTAAGCAAGGAGATAAATTCATTCATTGCTCAAATATCACATTTTTATAGCTTTTACATAGCATTTTTATAGTTATGAGATAAAAGGCAATATATTTGGCATTTCTCAGAAAAATAAAAAATGTACAGAAGTAAATGTAGTAATTCTTTTTTGTCTTTTATTTCACTGAGTGTATGATAATTCTTTCCTTTCATAGTTAATAGTAAATAATTTTAGTTTTTTTTTTTAAAGATTTTATTTATTTATGCAGCAGAACTGGGGTACAGGTCAGAGGTGCAGGGGTCATGAGAGGATTCCCCAGAGACAGAGTGGGGAGCAGAACAAGCAGATCGTGGAAGTACACTGCTGAAGGGAGCAGCGGGCGGATCTGCCGTACCATGTGGGTAACCTCCAGGGCAGGTGGGGATCAAACTCATGCTGAAGTGGCTTTAGCTTCTTAGTGCTGTGCTTTTAACCCGATGCACCACCAGGGAGGGCCCTAATTTTAGTTCTTAAGCAAGCACCTTCACACTAACTGATTAAAAAGACTGTTTTCTTCCAGGAGGATTTAGATATTGATTTTTCCAGTATTCTGTGAAGGACCTTTTCATGAAAGATAGTAAACATGTAAGACTTATTATTATAAATGTGCATACAATTCATAAAATCCTTGCATCACACACTTTCATTTGAACATATACAATGTGATCAACTTGATCATACACTAGGTTGTGTTACCACTTGCATTAAACTTGAAATAATCAGTTCCATAATTTATTTTAAAAATGTTTTTTCTCAGATTATAAAAGCAATAGCTAGTTATAGAATATCTCTAAAGCTACAGTCAGAATAGGTAACAATGGTTGCTTCAAGAAGACATGGATTAGAGGGACACTTAACTGCACACCATTTTTATTGCCTTGCAGTTTTCATTTGCATACCTTTGACTTTGAAACAGATAAGTTTATTCTACTGAAAAATTTTTACTTTTTCATACAAAAGTCATACAACCAGTGCAGAAAAACTTTAAGACATGGAAAAACAATAGAAAATAAAATTATCTGGTATTACTACCCAGAGACAGCCATTAATTACTATTTTTTTTTTAAAGATTTATTTATTTGCGCATACAGAACTGGGGTACAGGCCAGAGGCTCAGGGGCGGTGAGAGGCTTGACGAGAGACAGAGTAGGGAGCAGAACAGGCAGATCGACGAAGTACACTGCTGAGGGGAGCAGCAGGCAGGTCAGGAGAGGTCTGCCTCTCCATGTGGTCACCTCCTGGGCAGGCGGGAATCAAACTCATGCGGAAGTCTTTATAGTTTCTCAGTGCTGTGCTTTAACCCGCTGCGCCACCAGGGAGGGCCCATTAATTACTTTTTAACATCTTACTACCATCTTTATATTTTTTATTTAAGAAATTGAAATGAAATGGCCTTATTTCTTTACCTTTTTCACTTATTATATTGCTATCTTAAAATTTAATGCTAAGTAGGACTATGCCTACATAACCAAAAGTATAAGTAACAAAAGCAAACTTGACAAGACAGGATATTAAATTAAATGGATACAGAAACATATTGTGTTAATTACTGAATAAACTGAAAAAACCCAAGAATCTAGATCAATATTTTTGTTATGTTTGCTATGAAACTTCCCCTTCTTCCAGTTCAAAGAAGGAAAAGGAAGAAAAACCCTTACAACACTGCGATAGAGTTGGGAGGTATGGACTTTGACCTATGAGACCAAAGGTCCAAAGTTCAACAGCAAGGAAAGTGCAATGGAAACTAAGGGTATTCAATAAGTAAATAAGTATTGACCAATGATAATGACAAAGAAGTAAGGTTATTGTGTTCTGGGATAATGGAAAAACACAAAAGATAAGATGATACCTCTGAGGGAATTACAGTGACAGAATCATCATTAAGGAAGTCTTGGGTAGATGGTGATTGGATAGGGCTATTACCATGGCTATAAGTAACTCTGGAACCAGATAGCATTACAACTAATTGGTCATTTAGATCATCCTCAAAATAAATACCTTCCACCTAGACTTAATAGATTGTGCATTGATCAGCAATCGATAAGGCTGTTAAAGTAACTGGACTGACTGTATAGTAGCCTAGTAATTTAGTGCCCAGAAAAGACTTAGTGGATTACTTTGCATGTCACTGTAAAATCCAACTTTGGTAATCAAAGAAAAAGAAGAACAATGCAAGTATAAAAGACGGGGAAAATGTTAACAATTGACTTCAATGTAGAAAGGATTTATGCCAATGAGTAAGATCTTAGCTAACTAAAACTGCTAGCACACCAGATTACTCGCCACTTCTTTTTCCCTCTCTACCAATCCCTAGAGCTTGAAGAAACAGAGCAAGAGAGGAAACAGAATAGATATAACATGAAAATTTAAGAAGGCAGATTCAGAGTAAGGGAATTTGAGTTCCCAAATTTTAACATGTACTGGGTTATCCTCTATTTAGTTGATTCACAATCGCGTCACATTTTAGGAGTATCTAGATGATGACATCTCCCATCTATAGGCTTTGCTATTTCCATATGAGACTGAAGAGTTATTGCAGGGGTACCTAGCAGCTTGGATAAGGTTCCTTTCTATATCAAAACTCTTTTGACTCTTAGTAATTATTTGGGTAGATGGTAAACATTTGTTAGGTGTCTGAGCTATTAGTGTTTTATTTATACCTTTGCATTTTAGATATGAAATCATATCCCTGGATTAAATTTACCACTGCAATCTACCTTATACAGAGTAGCCTACTCAAGAGTCCAATTTCCACTAAATTACGTCTAAGCCCAAAAACAGTTTAGAATAAAAAATAAGCTGGCTGGTACCCTTGCTCAAAAACATATCCTCTATCATCAAATTCCAGATCACAGCAGGGTGAGAAGTTCATATTGTGAGGCTGAAAACTGACTTTGTAACCATCTCATAGCCACTCTGGGTCATATGCTCAATGACTGGTTCTATCTAGCACCATCTATTTAAATTCTTTTTATTCTGCTATTCCCCTTTTTTTCCTAATATGTAGTTAAATTAATAAAAGAAAAAACATGTTAAATATGATGTGATTCTATTGTACAAGAGTAGAAGAACTGTCTTATACCTGTTGCATTATGCTTTTTAAAAATGAAGGCCCAGAGTACCAATAATTTACTGATGCCAAAAAAGCAGAAACCAGATAAAAACCAGAAACTGGATTTTAGAATTTGTACAAATGCAAGTAACAAAAAGCAAAAACTGACACATTCTTAATTCAAACAAAGGGAACAGCATACCTGAAGAATATATTGTGTAAGATCAACTGCTTCTTTCTTCTCGTGAACAAGTAGAGTTTCTTTATCTTCTACAGTAATAATATTAATTTCTCCACGACGCACCTCCCTTATGCCCAGAGGTCGTTTTCGAACACAAACTCTGATTTTCTCCATCTCAGTCCATGGATTCTCTTTCTCTGAGGTATTCTGTCTGATATATGAATATAAATGGACTTTAATTCTTATTTATAGGATAAGGCTACTCAAGAAATCAAAGTATCAGTACATATTGTTTTTTACTAGGTATATATTATGTGTGTGTATACATATATGCAATGTTACATGTTAAAGTACTGATGCTTAAAAGTTCTATAGGTAAAATATTCCTGATTACTTCTCTCTCCATTCTTACTCCAGCCTTCTGTCCTGTCATAGACAAAAAACAAAAACAAAACCAAACAAAAAGTTGCTTTACACATAGGCTCCAAGGCTTATGTGTTTGGCTTCCAGATATGGTCTTCCAAAAGGTTTCTAATGATGGATATTCTTTACTGTTTCTGTCCCTAAAACAGGGTATTTAATTCTCAAAATTTAGCACACTGCTAACACAATGCCACCACCCCTCCAAAGCTTTTACAAGACCCAAATGCAGATCTCTTGCAACCAATTATTCTTGCGCATTTACTATTTTCTTGAACAGCCAATCTAATCTCTTCCCCTTTTTGCCTTGATTTACTTAACAATTAAATTCAGTGGTAGGTTTCAATATACTTCTCCTTTAGATTGTTCTGACCTACACTGTCTTGTTCTCTTACTTTTTTTTGCACTACTTGAATATTTGTTTGTTAGAAGACAATTCAATTTTTCTTCCCAGGACAAGTTTATGACTGGTGCTGTGTACCAATAATGTACCCTTCTATTTAAATCCATTTCTTTTTTGACTCTGGCCCAACTTGTTAACCTTAACATGCATACTATTTTAGACAATATCCCTGGGCTAGGGATACAAAAATTTTCAGGTTTACTACGACTAAAGGGGGTGGGGTGGGGTGGGGCTGAAGGGGAGAATTGGGGGGTCTGTGTGAGGGGGTATCTCTCTCTTTCTAGTCCACAAACTAAGAATGTCTTACCAAGACAAATTATTCTCTGCATTTACACTTTAGAACTTGGTTGATATTCCTTAAAAAAACCTTTTAGAATAGCTTTTACACAGGATATTTTACTATGTAATTGTTTTTTATCTATTTCAACTTTCTGATCCCTTCAAATGACTGGAAAATTATTTTTTTGCCAGGATCTAAATTAGCAGCAACTTAAAATTCTAACATAATGCATAAAACACTACTCAGGGCTTTAGGCATGTCTTTTTTTTTTTTTTTTTGCCAATATATAGCAATTTTTTGAACTAAGAGGGGCAAAGTCTTGACAATCATTAAAACTACATGCTAGACTGGACTATGGTGATGGAACATGGGTGATTTGGTGATGGGAAGCCCATGGGGATTACAAATGAGATGGAAAAATGCACAAAATGATATAAAAATAAATTATTACATTATTTTTTAAAAAACTACATGCTAGGCATATGGGGGCTCACTCTTCTTCTTTTGCATATATTCAATGTTTTTAAAAAAAAAATAAAAATTTGATGCAGCATTTTAATAAGAGCCTGTATCAAAATCTCTAGCTATTGTTATTAAGAACCTAAACAATAATATCCTAACAATAATCAACTATTAACAACCTAAGCTAATCAATGATAAACAATGTCCTTTTCAAAATGTCCAGGGACTCAAGGATGTCAGATAGACAAAAGGATTATAGTTTTCAAGATCAAGGAGCAAAAGAAACAAATGTTCTAAAAATCTCTGGTTTTAACATCTCATTTTCCATAAAGAAGTAAATTAGATCTGATATGCAAAGAGTAAAGACAGCTGGAGTTAGGTCTATTTCAGATCTTAAATAAGTCAAGGCAACGCATTCTCTAAATGTCTGAGACTTAAAAATTAAAACACTGAGGCCAGCAATATATTTTGTTCGAGGGGGCTGTTTCTCAGGGTCTTGAGACCCTGACTCTTACTACAGTATCAATGATTATTGGAGAAAATGTACTTTCTCACTTCCATTTTCCTAATAGAGAATGAGAGGCCTGAGGAAAGAAAGAAGTTCCACTGAATAGTAGTTGCTCTGGATGGGACAGATATTTATCTAAACAAGCATTTATCATATACCATATAGTTATCTGTCTTCTCACTCATCCATCTACATATCTACCTTTGGGTCTGGCAGGGATAGTTCTTAATATTAGAAAATACATGAAATAGCAATATTTAAGCTAAAATATTCATTCCATACAAATAATACAAAGTAGTTTATGCTGTCTATAAATAATTCAATACAAATTCTTATGTGTATTAAAATAAAAGATTATGGTACTCAAGAAAATATTTTGTTCATCCACCACTGAGCTAACCAATGGGTCTGAAACAATCCTGGCTTTGAGAGTTATGGACCAATCTAGTTCTCTTAGAATCAAAAGGAGAAAATACATATCAATTATTTCTCAATAAACCTGGGAGAAGAAAGAGCCATACCATATACTCTGTGCTCTGTTAAAACAAACTAAACAAAAATGTTTTGGTACATTACAAAATCCACTTATATAATTTAATTAACTAAAGAAACTTTCACTTTTAAAACTGGCTCTATTTTTTTAGAATAAAAGAACTAGTTGTTTATGAGATTCTCTGAAATCTTAGTCAATATAAGACCAGATATAAATACCATGTTTTAAGGTATGAATTATAGCCCTAAAATAAAATGGCTTCTAACTCACATTTAAAATTTAGTATAACAAAACCAGGAACACATGTTATTTGAAAAGAACTTGATATTTTACTTCTTAGGGGACCATATTTTAAATTCTAATTTGAAGCACTCTGCAAAACATATTGTCAGGCTGACTCGTAACTGACCTCAAAAACACCTTCTTGCAATCACCAAAATCATCCTGGGCTGGAATTGTAAAAAACATCAGAATCAGGATCATTTTAAATTGTGTGCAGGTAAACTAACTGCTCCAATGATCTACTTGATTCAACTTCATGCTCTGTTTTTAACTAAATTTTATATGTCTTGGTTGATTTAAGTGATAGTCTTAAAAAAAAAATCTGTGGTTTGTGTGATTTTTTTTTTTTCCATTACAGAAGGTTAGGTGACTATTTTACTTTTATGGATGCATTAGTTGTATCATGTTACACTATAATAAATAATAGAAATAGGTCTGCTATAAGAATAATAGGAGATCCTGCCAAGCAGCAGCTGTTTGATGTACATGAACAATATCATCTTTCTTCCACCTGCAAAGTCCCAGTGTCTCATTCATTTTCCCCTATTAAGGTTTATCTATTATCAAAGCAGAAAGAGCTCGCTATCATTTACTGTAAATAAGGAATAACTGTTCTGCTTTGGTCACAGAGAGGCCTGCCCTGAGGCTACCCTATTTCAAAACAAAACAAAACAGAAACAAACAAAAAGGTAAAAATGAATTATTACCTGATATAAGAATGAGGAATTCCATAATTATACCCTGAAACATGAGAGACTCTTTGAATGACAGGAATATCACAATCCCCCAGTATTGGAGAGAGGTGACTTGATGGGAAGAGTGAAGTTTCTGTTTGCACATAGGAATCTGCAGGTGTGACATCCAGAATTCTTGTTTTTGTATGGTACTGGGAATCATCTGGTAGCATGTGCTCCAGCACTTTTAGGTAACTAGACTTTTGTTCACTTACAGAAAAATCTGATAAATTGCACATTTCAGACCCATTGTTGCTGGTAGTTCTGCCTTTGTCAGCAGGAGAATCAAAATGCAGCTGCCTGCGAGGCCCAGATCTGGATTCCTTAGGCTTGATGTACAGGCTATTTGTCCGAAGAGGATGCTCTGGGCTGCTGACTGCTTTATCTTCTTCCTGCATAATCTTAATGATTTTGATAAGTTGGAAGAGACGTTTGCGGTCATTCATATCATGAACTCCCAACCTAGAGTAGTCCTTCATTGTAACCTTGGCTAATTCATCTATTTTCTGAAGGCCAACAGCAGTAAAATGAGGATAATACTGTGCAAGTTCAGCTTCACAAAGACACTCATACAACCAGGATGCCATTCTTGTGAATAGATTTTTATACACTCTGAAGGAAAAAAAATACCAAGTCATTCACTTGAATTATAACATATATAGTATAATTATTCCTTTAAGTAATCAAAATCCATAAGAAACATGCAGAAAAATGCTAACACACCAAGTTTTCAATAAATTTCAATATTTTTCTTCAAAAAATTAAAACAGCATAGCCCATAAGCAAAGATCCTTATGCTGCATTTATTATAACATGTAAATTGTACATCTGCTTAATAAAAATACCTTCAATTTATATTACTTATATATACACACATACATATAGATGCACATAATGGAAACCACTTACTTATTTCTAGGGAGTTCCTTCCAACCTTGCAGTGTCTATTTAACACATGCCATAAACTACTGAAACCTGTCCCCAACCACTGATTGTAGGAGGTCTAAATTTAGATGTACAAGTTAATGTCAAGGCATGTTGCACAACTGTTTCCCATGATTAATGAACAAAGGCTAAGAACTCATTCAGAATGGAAAGCAGAATTAGACAACAAACCACAGAGAATTTATAAGCTAGTATAACTCAGAAGCTATCATGCTTGTATCTGCTGAATACTGGCAAAAGTTGTTAAATAAAAAGGTAAAAGTCATAATTCATAATACATTGAGTCAGGATTTCAGAAAGGTAGATGTCTCTCTGTATACAATATGAATAATTTACTGAGGAAATTAATAGTGTAGTCAAGATTTTAAATGGCTACACATTGAAATGCTAAAAAGTTTTTAATATATATATATATGACACAAGCTATGCAACGGCTATCATCTGACAGATTCCAGATAGCTCGGGAAAAGCTCTGAAAAATCAGAATTTCCACTGCTAACTTATGTTATCCCTTTTTTGTATAATCATAATATCAAAAAATATTGTAGCAACATCAGTTTGTAACTGGATTGCCTTAGCTCTAAATTGGCTACCTGGCCTGGGCAAAGTACAAGCTGAGCTGCTCCTGGGCAGGAAACTCCTTTGACTGAAGACAAAAGGCAAGCTCCTGGAGAGATAAGACCCCGGAGCATCAAGACTCCAGAAAACTTCTTTGGTCTTTTGACAAAAAGCGATTCTTAAGATAACTCTCAGGGCATAAGGACCCATGGACATTTTCCTAACATTATCAACACAGGTTTTACTTAATGCATAACATGTGACTTCCTAATTTACTCTTTTCCTAAAACAATCACTAACTACTCTCTGCTAGTCTTATTTAACCTCTTCCTAAAACACTAGCTACTCTCTGCTAACCTTAAGTTAGCCATTAGCTTCTCTTTAGACTATCACTGAGGACTCTGCTAACACAATTTATCCCTTCACTAGGACTTCTAAATCCTTTGCTAACAGCTCATCCTTTCCCAGACCCTGATCCTTTAAAGTCATAGTTAAACATCCGTATACATGAAAGCTATCAAAGATGTATAGTATACTGTGCCATAAAGTAGCAGAAGAGGATGCATTGTTCTCCTCTTCCTTTAAAACTTTCATGCCGATTTCTTATTAACTTACCTGATGCATTATTGTAACTAAATCTTGCTAAAACAGTATAAATAAAGACCTACAAAAAGATGAGCAGGAAGACTTGCACCCAACTCCGACCCGTGTCTTCCTCACTCCCACTCCTCTCCCCCTCTTGGAATCTCTGCATGCCAACGCCTTCCCATCTTAGGGTCCTTGCCTGTGTTGCCTCCAGACACCTCAAAAGTTGGAGCTGGTCTCCAACATATATATATTTTTAAAGATTTATTTATTTATTCATATAGAGCTGGGGTACAGGCCAGAGATGCAGAGTGAGAGGATTCACCAGAGACAGAGTGGGGATCAGAACAGACAGATTCATGAAGTACACTGCTGAGGGGAGCAGCAGGCCGGTCAGGAGAGGTCTGCCACGCCATGTGGATCTCCTCCCGGGCAGGCAGAATCAAACTCATGCGGAAGTGGCTTAAGCTTCTTAGTGCTGTGCTTTAATCCCCTGCGCCACCAGGGAGGGCCCGAAATGCTTAAAAGTTTTTAACACCAAAATTTTTTACTATATACTAACAAATTATGTGTCAATGATACATAAAATATTCCTGTCTAAATCAGAAAACTGAGCAGCTCTCCACTGTTAATCAAATGAAAATTCACAAAAATATTCAAAAGTAAAAAAACTACATTTTCTTTTTTAAAACTGCTTTATAATTCAGTTTCCAAAACTCAGTTAATTCTTGGTAAAGTTTTTCTATTTTCATTTAAATCTAGATTTTGTCTTTATTCTAGAAAAAGAGAGATCAAGGCCGGTAACAAAAATGATTAAAGGATACTGTATAGTTAACTTTAGAAGAAATGATACTGACACTATAAAGAAAAGGCCACAGATAGTAATACAGCCTGAACTCATCCTACCCTTTTTCATTTGTGGTAGATTTAAAAAAAGAAAAAGGGCACAAATTCTCTTACAAGAGATAAGAGCCTATTTCTCTTTCTTACTCCATTTATGATGGTCTGTTTTAAACAAAATTCAGTGGAAGCAATACTGTGATTGCCATGCTGAGGTTTCCAGAGCTTTTGCACTTCTTCTGTTCTCTTGGAAATCTGCTGCCAGGGAAAGAAACCCAGGCAAAGGCTATATATCAAAGCCAGATATGGGAAAAACCATCTTGGATTATGTAGCTCAGTGGTACCACCAGATTATTGCGGCCACATGAGTGACCCATGGATAAGATTTGAGACCTACTCACTTAAGTTCAGCTCAAATATCTGACTCAGAGAACTGTGAGCAAATAAAATAATTGTTTTAAGACACCAAATTTTAGGGTAGTTTACCGCACAATAATAGAGAACTGTAACACCAATTCTATGCCTTTTAAAATGCTTTACCTATCTTTGCCTGAAATGTTTCTAATTCCCTTTGCCTACCAAAATGATAAATGCCATCCTTTCAAGAGATCTCAGTAACTTCCCCCTTCAACGAGGCTTTCTTTAATCTTGCAAACTTGACTTACCCATGTAACCTAATATGTGGTAGTTAAGCCAGCCATCAGTCTCTTTTACTGTTGTCTCTTCTTCATGGATACTTGTCTTTCCCAGCAATAAATTCTTTTTATACTTTTTCTGTGAGGTATGTGTTAGCAAGGGATAATTGGTATTTTCTCTGCACTTCAGTAATAATAGTAATGAGTACTTATTGAGCATTTATATGTAACCAGGCACTGTTCGAATCTTTATTTAATCCCCAGCAAATCTATTACATACATAAATATGTGACTTTCAGCAGATTACTTATGTAACATCTCTAAAAGTAATTTTTCTCAATTGTAAAATAACATAGTAGTCCCCAACAGTTCCTAGAGTTAGGTTTCAAAGAGAAAAATATTTGTAAAAACTCAGAATAACAGTACATCGTCAGTGCTCAGGGTTAGCAGTTATTACTACTATGATTGTTATTTTTGTATTACTACCTTCATCATCATGTCAGAACCTAGAATAGGCCCCTTTGGTGTGTTTTATTTCTTAGCAGTTATACTTCCCAGTTGGTTTAGCCTCACCCAAGGTAACAGGTTAAGTGTCATGCAATCTCCTTAATTTCCAGATTGTACAAGATCCTGTATTTCACACACTCAGTGTGTGATATACCATTCTCTCAGTGACATACCAAACTGATAGCCACAGCCTCTACTACATCCCTTAATCAGTACTTGCAAGACTAAAACTTCATCTTGTAAGCTTGGATATCCTATATCACAGGATGAACAGAAGATTGAAATATCAGTAATTTGGACATTCAGATAAAAGCAGCTACCAACATGCTTTTACATAAATGGGTAGTAAGCTCCCTTTCTGAGCCACACAGTTAGTTTATGCTCTTTTATTTTAAAACTATACATGCTTCTTGGTATCACATTCCATTTTACAAAGTACAGGCCCTCTCTTCTTCCAGGGTAAACATCAGAATCACTCTAGGAACCAGAAAAATAAAAATACCTGCGCCCCATCCTAGAATATTAAAAAACAAACACTACAAACACTCCCAGTTTTGGTGGGGAGACAGACATGAGAACACTGAAAAAGTCTCCCAGGTAGGCCTAATTGCATTCCATTAATCTGTACCTATTAAAATTACAAATGTGAATACACTGACTTAGTAATTGCACTTCTAAGAACTATTCCTGCATTCCAAGTACAAAATGACATGGCTACTCTGTAACAGAAAACTAGGGGAATAGGGACTGAGTAAGTGATGGTAATCCATTAAATGGAACACTATGAAGAAATTACAAAGAGTAAATAAACTCTCAATGTATTTCTGAAGAAAAAGAAAGCTCTCCAATGTATTAAGTCACTTGAATAAGGTATAGTTTTTTTTTACGCATACAAGTACTGGGGTGCAGACCAGAGGTGGGGGAGGTGGGTGCAGGTGCTGGTGGTGAGAGGATTCACCAGAAATAGATTGGGAGCAGAACAGGCAGGTCTACTGAAATACACTGCTGAAGGGGGCAGGGAGATATAGGCGAGATCTGCTGGTACCCTGTGGTTAGCTCCCTGGCCAAGATCAAACTCAGCTTGCTAGTGCTCAGACTTTAACCCCTGTTGCCACCAGGGAGGCCTGAGATACACTGTATGGTAAAGGTACCACCTGTTAAAGAGACAGATAAGTGATCTACAAAACATCTTTACTTAGCAGGCATAAAATATTTTGACAAGCTGCACACAAAAGTAATCGGTCACTGAGGGGAAGGAAACCAGTCGCTAGAGGGCAAGCATGGGAAGATTACTGTACTCTCACATATAAATGCTGGCTTTTACTACCTTTCCTATTTTTATTTCTATTTCACTGTTGTCTCCATCACTCAGCTCAGGATCTAGAACAGTTGTTTTGAAACTAAATGACTATAAAACTTATATTTCTGTTTCCTCTCTCCCATTTCCCATCTCAATCTCCCCAAACTGACCTGAAACAACTATTTGTTACTATCTTGGTGTTTTTACCCCCAGTCTT